TTTAAATCCATTTAATTTTAATATTTGGCCACATGCAAAGTCAGAAACTTTTATTTTGAAATCGCGATGTACAATAAATCGCATATTTAGAAATATGTTGATGTATTCTCCTGTGTTGGCATAGGTTTAAATGATTTACGTTACAAATCAAGTGAGTTTTCCCAGATGAACGTTAAGCAACACTCACCGCATATGCAGAGGAAGAGTTTAGCCCCTTTCACACATACAGTCTTTACTGGTAAATTACCGTTAAGAGATCATGTGTGAACATGACCTTTTCAAAAATCCCAGTAAATTCGTTCTGGCAATCATATCGTTCTTATGGAGATGACTTGATTACTCTGAGCTGTTTACAAAGCTCCGCTGCTTTTTTAAATAGCTTTTCTATGTAAATATGACGCTAGATGGAAATCTTTGACCATTGCACTTCGCAGCATTTTCAATATGTCGCGCTCGAGACCCAGGCTTCTTTTCCATTCATCAGCTAATCCGCATCTCGTGTTTATAAGAGCAAAGATCCGGCACGGTGCCGGAGAACTTTAAGCCCTGATTAAAGCTTTATATATGAAATAATTTATATGAATATAAAAATATACACGTAAATACATGTAAATATTTTCAAAATATATGCTGTATGTGTGTATTTATATATGCATAATAAATATACACAGTACACACACATATATTATGTAAACAAAAACTTTTATTTTGGATGCGATTAATCGCGATTAATCATTTGACAGCACTATTATATGGAATGCCAATCCTGCCATAATTAGAAATAAATAAATGTACAAATAAATGTACAAATAAATGTAAAAAAGCAAATATAAATAATAAATATATAAATAAATATACAAAGAAAAGCAAAAATAAATAATTATTTATAATTTTATTTCCTTATGTATTATTTTTTTTTTCCACATTTACATTTAGTTATTTCCACATTTATTTATTTCCACTTTTATTTATTTTCACATTTCTGTATTTATTTACGTTGTTTAACACCTGTTGATAGTGTGGGATGTATGATTTAGATGGGCAGTATGGCCAAAATCTTATATCACAGGTTATTATTTAAATTTCACGTGGGGCTTTATTTCGGCTGGGAAGCGTGCAATCTGTGATCGAGTGCATTTGCTGAAGCTCGCGAAAGCCTGCAATCACTTTCTTATGCACGCTGTTTTTTTAGGTTTCACTTTCAACGCATACAACGCATGTTTCAGATTCGGGATAGAAGGAGGCATCTGTAGAAGATTTGTTGCCTCACGCCACTTCCCGTAATGGGTTCTCTTGGCTGACACGGCTTTAGATACGGATTAATCTGCTGTTTAATCACAGGTCTTAGGCTGGAAATATCCAGAATTAGATCAAACAAAAGGTGTCCATGGGAACAGAGCCAGTGAAACACGCACGCCATGCATTATAGCCTAAAACATGCTTAATATTCGCGACTGACACCAACGATTGTATGCGGCTATGCAGTGGAGATGCGTTCACTTTCAAATATCATTCAGCATTCATTTTGAAATTTTGTCAAATATTTTTTCTTGATTACAAGAAAAAAACTATTGTTCTTGTTGTGATTTATTTCTTGTTTTTCATTTAATTCATAAGTTAACACTGCAAATTAAATGGTTTAATTTTTTTCTGCAGTCGAAGAAAGTATAACCTAAATTATGTCAGTGATTTCTCTCATTTTAAAGATTATCAAGA